CTCTGAGCCACAGCCGCCCCAAGACAAGACTGTGTTTAGATTATATTACATTTTATTACAAACAATGCCTGTCTAAAAATGAATATGACCCTTCTTTTAGTTTTTTATTATTTACATGACGCTTAGCACAACCTCCAGAAAACTGATTTAACCATAAGACTTGATAAACAAAACTTTCTGCAAAAAACAAGTACCTCCACCTCCTACTGCAGAAGACATTTATGGTGTTTCGGTGATCCTCCTGTTAAATTAATTTCCCTCTTAACTTCAGCCTTCAGGTTCTTCTTCCTCTGCTGCTCTACTGCCTTCAGCTCCTTTGAAAGTCTCCGTTTTTCTTTCTTTAAAGCCTTTTTCGCTCTCCTGAACATCTGTGCAGTGTAGTGGCCTCCGTCGTTCTCTTGAGTCATTCTGAATATTTTCTCCAGGAGCTGCTCAGTCTGTTCCTGGTCTGTCACTTGGTTGTTGAAGACGTGATATCTCCCGTAACATACCTGGATGAGCTCTTTGAGTTCTTCGCTCTTTGAAACAAAGCTTTCAATGGTTTGTTTCTTTAGTTTGTCTCCATGTGTGAACAACACTAGTGAGTATTTGGCTGACTCCTCGCCAAAAATGCTTTGAATCATCCTCACGGTGTCTTTCTCTTCCTGGGTAAACCTGCCCAGCTTCAGGACCACCAGGAAGGCATGAGGACCAGGGGCAGAGAGAGAAATACACGTCTGGATCCTCTTCAGCACTTCATCTTGAGTGAAATTAGTGTCAAACAGCCCCGGGGTGTCAATGACGGCAACCTTTTGACCTCCGACCTCTCCCTCAGCCCTCTTGCATTGAGTTGTCCAGGAAGAAGCAGACATTTCAGACTGGAACGCTTCCCTCCCCAGGATGGTGTTTCCCGCTGCACTCTTCCCCGCTCCTGTCTTCCCCACCAAAATTATTCGGAGTTCATTGCTCTTCTTCTGTTTCCGAGAGCCTGAAGAAATAAAACATAACAACATCTTTGTTTTCAGCTTGTTGTACTTATGTGTATAAAATATTGAACTTTAATACAGATTGTACTATACACATTTAGTGATGAAACATTGGTAAAAAAAAATGGTAAAATGGACCTG